TTTTTTAAAAAAAAACTCTCATAATATATTAAATAAATCTTCACAGAGAGTTCTTCTATTCTAATTAGTGGTTTTAAGTAGACACTCTTCAAATGAAATTATAGATACAGTTTCCCTTAATGTATATTGTCGAACATCATTCTTTCTAAAATGGACATCACAACTGTATGGAAGTGGAAAGTGAAATAGGAATTTCAGTGATATTAGATATTAGATTGTTGTTGACTGCTGTTGAGTAGAGCACGACTCATACTGACTCTATGAAAAAAATACCTGAAGTGTTTCTATCACTATTGTCACTTATTCATAGTGTTTCGTGAGGCATATTGCTGAGGAAGTGGATGTCACTATTGCTTCCAAAGATATTAAATATTTAGTGAAACAGATATTCAGTGAATGATCTAGTAGAGCCTCCATTGCCTTTGATTAAATTAATTTACCCCCAACACAGGAGGGACTGGAGAGCATTAGGCTAAGTGAATTAACTCAGTCTCACAAAGAAAAAGACTGCATAGGACCACTATTCTAGAGCATGTAGAAGGATGAAAGGAGGTGAGAAGGGGCTTAAACATAGGGTCGCACGATTTGATGGGTGGAGCGAGGGATTAGTAAAAGAAAGGGGAAAGTCTGATGTGAAAAACAATGTATACAAACTTTAGGAACTTTGTATGCAAACCAGTGTAAATAAATTTATTTTTTTTTATGGATAGAGGACATTACACAAAAATATTAGAGAGTTTTTCCTGAAATGCTGATAACTATATTTCTTTTATAACTTCAATAGAAAGATCTGAAATGACATGCTATTTTTATTTGGTAATTTTTAAATATCCACTATATAGAAAGAGAAGCATTATAAAAAATTTACATGCATTGAAATTTGATGTAAAAAGTAAGAGAAAGCAATCCTTTTATGTTTAACTCATTTTTAATGGAGTGATTTATTACATAGCAATTTTCTCAGTGCGTCCATGACATCCTTGTTTCTTAGACTGTATATCATAGGATTGAACATAGGAGTTAGAATTGTGTAGAAAAGAGAAAGCACTTTGCCAGTTCCTTCTGGCTGGTTGGTCTTGGGCCTTAAGTATGTACTCATGCCAGAGCCGTAGAATAATACCACAACTATCAGATGAGATGAACAGGTAGAGAAAGCTTTGGTCCGACTAGTGGTTGATGGAAACTTTAGAATGGTAAATATGATTTTACTGTAGGAGGCAAGAATCAATATAAATGGAATTAGAATAATCAATAGAGCAGCAATAAAGACCACCATCTCATTTATATACGTATCCTCACAAGCCAGCTTGAGTATTGGGGAAATGTCACAGAAGAAGTGGTTGATTTGGTTAGATCCACAAAAGTGTAGAGTGAAAATCTGATATGTCTGCCCTATTATTACTGGAATTCCCATGATCCAGGAGCCAATCACCAACTGGACACAGAATCTGTGGTTCATGACTAGAGGATAGTACAGAGGGTTACAAATGGCCACGTAGCGGTCATAGGCCATCACGACCAGGAGCAAACACTCTGTGGCTCCAAATATTAAGACCAGGCACATCTGGAAAGCACAAGCAACTACGGAAATCCTTCTTCTTTGAGTCACTAGATTCACCAGCATTCTGGGGAGAGTAACTGATGCATAGCAGATTTCCAAGAAGGAGAAATTTCCTAGGAAGAAATACATTGGGCTCTGGAGAACAGGATCCAATTTTGTTATTATAAATATAATCCCATTGCTCATCAGGATAATAATATAGATAATAAAAAATAATCCAAACAGAAATCCCTGCAAATGGGGGACATCAGCAAAATCCAAGAGCACAAATTCCATTAGTTCTGTTAGATTTTCTCCTCGCTGTTTTTCTGGATGAGTCATCTGTGGAAAGGGTAAATTTGCAATGCATTTCCTTTATTTCTCAATTCTTTCTAAATTTTATTGATGTGTCTATAACTCACATAGGATTTTTTGATCATTGCAACTATTTGAACATCAAGAATAACAACACTATTATTGTTTATGTCCAGTGTCTTCCTGCTAAATCACAATAAACACTCTACTCAAAATGATTTTAAGATAGTTTCACAATATTTTTGGAGCACAGCCCAGACTTAATTACACTATATGTACAGCAAGACAAGAATCAGAGCAACTGTGAATTCCCAGAGTTTTGTGATTTAATGTAACTGAATAAATCATACATGTTGGCAATATTAGTGTACCTATCCATTCATTTTCTGTCAAGTAGTCTAAAGGCTATGTTATAAATTGTCTTTTAATATATATTTCCTCCATGTATTCAATGGTTAATTCTCTAGATTGATGATTTTAAGAATATAGAATTCAAAGGCATTTGATTGTATGGCTCGTAAGAATGTGTGAATAACATTATAACATTGCAAAGAATGGGAATTCCAGAGCAAGTAATTGTTTTCATATCGAATATTTACGCGTATCAAGAGGCAGTCCTTCAAACAAAGCAAGGGATACTGCATGGTTTAAAATCAGGAAACTGAATTGTCAGATTTGGATCTTTTCACCATAGCTCCAGTGATACAGTCCATAGCCTTACGTATTGCTTTACTGAAACAAAGCTAACCTCTGATGGTTCACATTCCTAAGTACATCTATTGAAGAAAGATGGTCAGTCTCCTATTGTTAAGATATGCACCTTCAGAAACATGATAAAGGGTCACTGACACCTAAAAAGACAGGGACTTTCTAAGAACCTGTACAGTTGATGAAAAATGAGACATCAGAATTTCAGAAACTCTCATCAATATCCTGTGCTATGCAGATGTTATATCACTTGCAGCTCAAAGTGACCAGGACATGAAGTACTTACCAGAGAAGATTGCAGACTTCATTATAGATTACACCTCAACATCAAGAAAGCAACTAGTTTCACCATTGGACAAATCAATAAGCAAGCTAATGATTGGTAGGCAGAAGACTGAAGGTGTTACAGATTTAATTTTACTTGGATCCAAAATTGTTACCCGTGGGAGCATCAGTGAAGAACTCAAATGTCTCACTGCACTAAGGACATCTGCTGTCCAAGATCTCTCTAAAGTGCTAAAGAGCAAAGATAGCAGTTAAGATTATAGAGTGCTTGATCTAAGCCATATTATTCTGTATACATGTGAAAGCTGAATTATCAATAAGCGAAAGGAAAGAACGGATGCCTGTGAATTGTGTTGGTGAGGAAGTGAATGTACCATGCAGAAGTGAATGTACCAGGGACTGCCAAAAGGACATACACATTTGTTGTAGAACACGCGCAGTTAGTGCCCTTCTGAACAGCAAGGATGGCCAGACTTCATCTCATGTACATTGGATATGTAAACAGGAGAACTGAGTCCCTGGAGAATGACATCCTACTCAAAGCGTAGAGAGTAGAGAGAAAGGGAGGATGATCCTCAATGTGATTAATTGACAGTGACTACAATAATAAGCAGGATTGCACACAGAGTACAGGATCCTGCAGTGCTTAATTCAGCTTCACATTGGATCACTCTGAGTCAAACTGACTTGACTAACAATAGTAACATACAGGTCCTATGAGAGATTTTAAGGAGGAATCAGTGTAGTTAATGTAACAAACCAAAATGCCTAAGAACGATTGAATGGAGAGCCTCAAGGAAGAGATATTATTTAACAACTATGAATCATAACATTTGAATCAAAAAATATTAAAAAAAAATAAAGAATTTGGAAAATGTTTAATTTTTTGTAAGTAAATATTTTGGCATTTTGATGGAAAGGTGAGCTGATTTTATACATGCACATAAATTTGTGATGATTGATTGAGACATAAACAATAAATGTGAAAACCCAAGTTGCACATTAATTTTATGTTGTTCAGCAGGGAAATGAGTATATACCTAATATGGTACACATGATTTTTTTTTCTGTACACATGATTTTTTCTGCATTGAAACAAAATAATAGACACATTTCAAATAAAATTTTCACCTTTAAAAAGATAAGATTTAAGAAAGACAAAGGAAATACTAGTATATTACCTTTTGAATGCCAGCATTATAAAAAAAATGTTAAATGTCATTTCTTTAATTTTGAATTATAGAAACTCCATAAGGCACTGCTTTGTCCTACGGTATAGTCAAAATAGTTGTTCTTTTTCGGTCACTGTTAATCCACAGGTGAGGAATTTCCTTTTTTCAAGCTGGTCTTCTCCTAAGCATTTTATTAAGACAAAGTCTTAACTTGCTTGCTTTTAAGAACACTTTGACTATACTTCATCCAAGACAAATCGATCTATTCTTCTGATCAAATCCAAACCAAACCATTGGCTTCAGGTTAAAGGAAAACCACAACAAATCTATACAACAGAATAGAATGCCCTATAGAAAATTTCAATACACATTTTTACAGAAATAGACTCCTTTTTTAAACTGAGATACAACTGGTGGGTTTGAGCTGCATACCTTGAGTCAGCAGCGTAGGTGAACTCCACTGTACGGCCAGGCTGCCTTGTTCTTTTGGAAATCCATGGTATAATAAACATTCCTTGCCCAAAACAGGGCTCAAAGCCATCATTTCCTTTTGTTCTTCCTTACTCATTTCTCGGATTTTGCATGCATGTGATGTTGCTTATTGGTTGCTTTGACAATTTCTGAGTAGCATTTTCTTAACATTCCGGAGTCCCTAAAATTAGCAAGGCTTAACATTTTTTTTAATAAATGAGATAAACAAACCCTGGAATTAATATGAAAAACAATATCAATTTACAACTTTTTTTATTATAGAAATTCTTTCACTTATAAAATATTATTCTATTTAAAAACTCACTGATTCTTTGCTTTCTAAAGAGTGGAACGGTTTGTTTTATGTTAAACATCTCATTCAAATATCATCTGAATTAAAATACATGAATATTATGCTTATTTGTTATAAAGTTTTTGTTGGAAATTAAGGTTTTTGTAAATTTTTTACTGAAGCTATTTACAAAGCAAAGCATTTTTTAAAAAGATAAATTCAGTAAATAAGCTTCAATTTACAATACTGAATGAAGGGCAAAATTTTTTTAAAGTTTTTATTTTATATTAGTTTGCTTATCAAAAGTTCATATATATTGTGTTTCACCCTATTCATTTACATTGTGTTTCATACAATCATTCTCACTCATTATATTTTATAAAATTAGTCACCATTGAACTATGCCCACCATTACCCCTGTCTTCTTAGGTCCCCACCAAATCTTTCCCATTTCATTTGCCTCCTCATTCCACGCACCAAACTGTGCAATCCTGTGTATTTTCTGCTATTCATCCTCACCCCTCTGCTCCATCTTCGGTGTTTTAAGTTAATTTAACTCTTTACAATCTTTGTTTTTTAAAAAATTACCTTAAGAAATTATATATATCTATATATCTTCTATATTGTTTGTAATGCTTTTATACTGTTTATTTTATATTATATGAATTGAATAATATCATAAAATATCAATGAAGTTAAATATGAATATAAAATTATGTCATATTCACCTTTCTTTTTGAGAAAATAAGATCACTGGTGATACTCAGGGCTTGGAATTAAGCCACTTCCAAAATAATTGAAGGTTCCAAGTCCATAGATTCTGTGTGAGAGAAGCATGTTGCAATCTGCTTCTATAAAGATTTAAAGTCTTTGAAATTTGTGGGCAGTTCTCTGTGCTGTGAGTTAAAGAAATTTAATGGCAATAGATAGGAGGTTTGCTTCATATTTTTAAAAGATCTTTTTATTTTCAACATTGAAGTGCTCTTTAAAAACAAAACAAAGCAAAATTATCTCTATGGGGATTCCTTCACTTGACACAGTTAAATTTCCAATTACAATTTTTTTTTTTGCCTACGTGCTTTGTTTTATTTGTTTGTTTTCCAAAATAGCTCTTGCTGTATTGAGAGCCAGTTTGTTCTCAGTGGAATAAGCACTCAGAACTTTTAATTTCTTATACTTGAGCAAAGTCTGGAATTGTCCTCTATGAACCAATGCCATTGGAGGCCATGCAAAATTAACAGAGCTCCAGTTCTCACTGTATTTATTATGAAAATTTTTGTCATGTCCCCTATTTCTATTACATTGTTCCTGTCACACTTTCCTGCATTTATTTTCCTTACTTGCTAATCTAAAATGGCTATGTTAATCGAAATTTAACAATTAAACAGGCCATGATAAAATTTTCTGACAACAAAGACTATTTCTGTCTTCAGACATAATATGTGTAACACTTCTTCAAGGCTACATAAACAAACTGAGAACTAGTTGCTGCTACTAATAAATCTAGCAGAAGTTATTATTTAATGTTGTTTATTTCATTTACGTTTATTTCCTATAAAGGATTTTTTTCCCTTTGCAACGTTAAACATTTCCTTCCCAATTTCATTCCTTCTTTTAATCCAGTTTTGAAGTGTGACTTTTATTAGAGTTCAGTTAGGAGAACATAAGGTTTTGTTTCCTTATCATTCCAATGAGGGTAAGAAATAGCTAGTCTATTTTTTATAAAATGCTTCTTCATCGTTTCAAATCTGAAATGTTTAGAAATATTGTATTCAGATCAAATTTTGCTTTGTCAACACATCTATTATTTAATAAGTAGTATTTTATAAAAGTATATAATCACCTTTAATCTTGATATTAGTAGCAAAATATAATTATATAAATTTTCTCTGCATCTATTCAATTTGTATGATCAGCAAGTCATTTGAGAAGCTAGACTATAAGAAGAATGTAACATTAGATTTAAAGGAAGATTCCTCAGCAACCTGCATTATGCAAGTGATATAACCTTGCAACAGAAGACTTAAACACTTACTGAAAACAATCAAAGACTACAGCCTCCAGTATCAATAATATCGCAATATCAAGAAAACAAATTTCCTCACCAGTGGATCAATAAACAACATAATGAGCAATGAAGGAAAGTTTGAAGTTGTCAGTGATGTTATTTTGTTTCAATCCACAATCAACTTTAAGGGAGTAGAAGTCAAGAAATCTAAGAACTTGTTGCACTGGAAGAATCTGTTCACACGGATTTCTTCAAAGTGGTAAAGAGTAAGGGTGTTCATTTTAAACAAAACATGTGTCTGATCCAAACAGTGGTATTTTTAATTGCTTTGTTTCTTGGTGTGTGTTTTTTTTTTTTTTTTAATGCATCTGAAAGAAAAGTTAGACAAAGGTTAAGGATGAGAGAAGAAAAATGGATGTGTTTGAACTGTGATATTAGTGAAGAGTATTGGATATGTCAAATACGGTCCAAAGAACAGACACATATGTCTTACAGGCAGTGCAACCAGGATGCTTCAAGAGGCAATGGTGTTGAAACTTTGTCTCACATAGTTTGGCCATATTGTCAAGTGTGAGGCTAGTACTTGGGAAAAAAAGACATCATACTGAGAAAGAAAAAGACTCAAGGAGATGGACTAAAAGGGTGACCATAACAATGGTTTCAAGCATATTGAGGATGGTACAAAAATAGGCCAGGTTCTGGTTTGTAGTTTATATAGTTGCTATGAGTTGTAGTCTACTAAATGGCACCTGTGAAAAAATCAAAGGCCACTTTAAGAGTGTCATATCTGAACGTTACCAGCTTCTCAGGGGGAACAGTTCCCATTCACAGCATCAATAACACAAAACAAATTTCCATGAAGTCGGATATGCCCCCCCACACACACACACAAACACACACTCCCGTGCCTCCTTCTACTTATCTAATCATCAATCTTACTGCTGTGGTGGGTCTGATTTGATAACCTCAAAGACCAAGCAGAACTGAATTAGGGAAATCAAATGGTTATAATTCAGATTAACAACAGAATACAGCCAAGACAACTTCCAAAAAGGGCATGCCGAAACCTCATCCTCAAGTGTTACAGCTTTCCCAAGTTCTTAGTCTTGCCAATATTGGCTTTCCTCCCTAGTTGTTCAACAAAGTTCTCAGTCCTGGCAATATTGACTTTCCACCCAATTATCCAATAGAGTTCTCTGTCCTGCTGATATTGACCACCTTTTCTCCCCACCAAGTCCCATCTCAGGTTAATTCTCCATTTCAGCCATGGCTGCTACTATTTCTGTCATTTCAAAGCCTGCCCTACATTTCCTTTCCTCCTCTTCACCAGGGTGAAGAAGGTGTCTTTCCTCTCCTATGGTTGGGGAGGATTCAATTTATTGGAAGCTATTCAGTTTATTGGAAGACTAGCCAACCCTCTTGTAGATTGTTGAGATTGGCCAATCTCCTTATCAAGTCACAGATAGCCAATCCCTTTTTATATAAACCAATATGCCCCGTTCACATAGTCCTGCCAAACCACATTGCAAAATCAAGTAAAGGCTAGAGATGTCACATTGAAAGATAAACTCCATAATGCCTAACAACACAATCTAAATGTTGGGGGAAACACAAGTCCATCTATTTGCCAATTTCTCTCTATCATCTTTCTTCTCTGTCTATCATATATTACTCTCAAGGGACAGGGAAACCTATAAAACTACAATAACTGAAAGTGACTAAGGAAGTTAATTGAAAGGCATTAGGTACCTATGACCTTGAAAGCATGAAAATGAAATGAAGAGCACATGGTGTGAATGGCCTCCTTAGAGAATCAGGTCTGACAGAGATAAGCACTAGGTTGAAATGAGACCCAGCCATGAATTACAGTAATACATATATTATTGGTATTGTTGTCACTATATGTCGTTGGGTTAACTCCGACCCATAGCGACCCTTTGTACAATAGCTCTGAACCCTGCTTTACTTTGAGCCAAATATGTTGTCTCTAATACGTCTACCACCATTACCCCAGCCACTGAGTCAATTCATCTCATCCAAGGTTTTCCTTTCTTGCTCTGTCCCTCCACTCTTTCAAGCAAGACATCTGTTTCCAAAGACTGGTCCCTCCTTGCCAAAAACATGTCAAATGGAGCTTCAAAATCCTTGCTTCAAGGAGAAGGCTGGTTTTTCCTCTTCAAGATGGACCTGTTTGTTTTCTTAAGAAGTCCATGGTATGTTCAATATTCTTTTGTAGCACCACAACTCAAATACATCAATTGTTCTGTCAACTTTAGTCATTGTCAAACTTTCTGATGAATAGCAATTAACTGCAAAGACCATGGCCTGTATCATGTGCACCTTAGACTCTAGACTGACATCATTGCTCTTCAGTTCTTTGGAGAGGTTCCTGACAGCAATTTTCTTCCAATGCAATTCATCTTTATGTTTCCTGCTGGGACCAAGAGTATTGATTGTGGAGCCTACGAAACTGAAGTTGTTAAAAATCTCAATCTCTTCACTAACATGATGCTGCCAATTGGACCAGTGGTGAGAACCTTTGTTTTCTTGATGTTGAGCTTTAATCAATATTGAAGGCTCCAGTCCTTGACCTTCTTCAGCAAATGCCTCCAGTCCTCAGTTTCAGCAAGCAAGGTTAAACCATCAGCATAAAGCAGATTGTTGATGATGAAACATTCTTCCTCATAGAGTCCAGCCTCTCAGATGATCTTTTCCACATATAGATTGAAGAGGTATGTACACATACTAAAAGTAAATAAATGAAAATAAAATTCTAAAGTCTCTATTTGTAGACTTA